TAAAACGTATTTTGTTTTTGTATTGGTAAACACCGAAGTACATCACAAAACAGTTTCTGCAAATTTGTAGTCTGTCAAAATGAGAATGAATGACACAAGTATCAAAACTAAAGCAGAACACAGTAGTGTACAGTCTACAACCAACATCTGACGAGACGAAATGACCACATAAAGGAACTAATGGCAATAACACCTGCAAACGAATAAAACGTCGTGACTTGTAACAAGAACAGTGATTAGACACGATTTTCAGCTACATACGTTTAACAGAACGGTTTTTCGTTGCCTACCTGAGTAATCCCACCAGACTGACCATCTGCCACGGCTGCCGCTGACCTGCCATTTGTTACTTCGCAATTGTTAGTAAAAGCTGTTTCCTGAATCTCTCCACGTTCTTTCAATATCCTCATCATTTGCGTTACCTCTCTGAATGAGTGGCTGAAGAATAGTTAATTCATAATTAATGGTAATTTATGCAAATAACAGTTACTCGATAAAACGATAGCCTTATCTGCGGTTCAAGAATTCGAAGCACTATACGCATGTCGGAGGCAGACATCTGACGACCGTAAACTGCTATAACATAACAAATCATCTGAAACGTAACTACATGTATGAGCAAACAGATCACCCCTGATGGAGTGAACTCTACCGGCACGATTATCTGCAGTCTAGCTAAAACCTGCCCGGCGAGATCTTGCAAAAATCGTTGTTAAACTGGCATAGTGCTTCCCGGGCCCGTTTGTAAACAAGTTCATAAAGCGTCAGCAGCCCAGATGGTGACGAGTCGGTCTTTAACGGAAGCTTCGTGTGACCATCGCGGTGTTATGCTTCAAACCACAGGCTTTTTCGTTTGCCGTTTACGATGATACTTAAACATACAAGGTGGTGATTGCACTCACGATGATTGGTCCATGATTGATCATGGAGTAAATTTCTTACCCCAACCCACATAGACTTAAATGTTTACCAAACTTCAGAAGTGATCCGCAAAATCTGAACTAAGCTGCTATACACTTGGCAATCACAAACGGCTCTCAGTGTATGAAAACGAATGAAAAATATAACTGCAAAACCTTAACGATAAACCACAACTTTTGAACGATGCAGAAGGCATAGGTTGTCCTAAATATGACCGTTTTTGACTGAACCCATAAACAGGAAAAAATACAGATAGCATCTAATAAAACCGGAAAAAATAAAGCATGACCATATGCATTTATCCTTCAATCCCAATCATCAGAAAAGGCTGCTAAAAGACAGCCGCAACATCTTGAACGACAGACAATATAGCTTTTATCAGGCTTTCATCAGAACGAACAGCCGAAAAGCACAACTCAACAGACACTGAGCTGAGTTTACGCAGACTCTTTGCCATTAATCACAGTGAAATAACAATGCAAAATGAAAAAAAACAGCAAGAAAGTTATGATAATACGTTAATACATATGCGTGAGCTACCATTAAGTATGTTTATACTAATGTTTCAAATCTCAATTAGTGCGAAGGATAGCCCATTTTGTAGGCAGCCTGTGTATGAACAAATTTAAACTGCACAAATATTTCCACTAAGACAGCGGACCAACGCCTGACAGTAGACAAATCTGAAACAGGGGAAAACCGTAACTGAGGAAGACAATTGAACTTCAGGATATATCTTTTTCAATGAGCTTAGTTTTCCTTAAGGGCGAATTCTGTGAGAACAAATGATGGGATCGCAGAATACAGAAATCGTCTGACATACGGCATATGATTTAACTTGCCGAACTAGTAGATATACTAAAAGCAGCATTCAGTCGTCTCCGCAAGAACACTAGAAAAGGATAAACGTAGAGAAAAATTTGGCAGGATAAAGCACAGTAAAGCACGTTGTGATCCTTTCTGATGTTACGAGCCTCTATCAGGAAGACAAAAATTCTAGTAGAAAGTTCAAAGTTCAAAGCAAAACAAACACATTCCCCTCGTCATTACTAGTAGCCTTAAGCTGATAGGAAAGTGATCGATAGTTTGGTCGGTCGGTATGTGCTGTAGAAGATAATAACCACAACGGAATCATCAGAAAACGGAGAAACATGACCACCACAGTTTAATACGGTTCCGAACAAAACAGAGCATAGAGTGAATCAATAAGGAAACATGAAACTACAGTATCGCAATCAGACCAAAATAAGACACTCCGTTGACGCAACGGGACGGTGTAGCTTAGGACTGTTGCCACTTTGCTGACAATGTGAATTGCGGTGCTAATAGCAGTGCATGAGTGAAACTGCTAAGCACAGATTTCAGGGATATTGCCATGACGGTTGGCATTGTCAATCAGCTAATAGTACAGATTTATGAAATTTCGAGTTGCCTTTGCACGGATAAAATTCACGGATTCAAGAACAGGCACATCTCTTCGCCAACTACCCGCTGCCAGATCAATTTGCACTAATGTTGAAGAACTTCATTAGGGTGCACATGTTGTTTCTCAGTATTTCTGCAAGCACCCTATCAAAGCACTTGTTCTGATGTCTTCTAGAACACATTATGTGAGTTTAGCTAAATCATTTACCGTTGTTCTTGTTGTCTATAGTGCAGCTTTAGACTTATGCTAGTAGTAGTACAGCTGATTGCAGCATTCACATAATCAC